AAGACTTTTAGTTCCACTTTTCTTCACCGTACGCGCTGCGATCGAAATTCCGCAAGTCTTACATCACTGAGCCAACGCTCCTGAGTCGGAGCTCGCGTCAACCGAGCGGTCTCATTGGTCAAGGTTTTTTGTTAATAACTCCTCAACCACGCCTCGGACAACTTTTTCGCTAAGGAAAATGTTGTTTAAAATCATGTCAGGAACCTCCCATTAAAATTCCTTACACTAGTTTTGGAACACCCTGTATAACACTGGATAGCGCATAGGCTCGCTCGGTTGACCCCTTTTGAGTGAAATGTCTGCCATGTTGCTTGTGGCCTGTTTTCCAATCCAATATGACGATTACGGTGATCGACGATGAACGACAGGTGTGACTTGATTCGCTCTAACGCTATAATTTCAATCACTAGTGCCTTGTTAATATTTTGAGCATAAATTATTTACTATTAGAGACACAATGGTGCTAATGTGTAAATATTGCGGTAAGAAGGGCGGAATAGAAGGCAGAACTTTGCATAAGTAAGTAATACCATGCAATTGTGAGATCATGTACAAGTTTCCTTGTTTGAAACAAAAGAAACGAACTGAGTAAAACATATTTTCGGACATTTGTATAGGAGCGGTACTACACATATTAATTAATTTGTCATTTTCTAGATTTCCTTTGAAAGATGCAGAGCTTCTTAAAGTCTGGCTGCAAAAAATGAATTTAGGAACTTCTTTTGTTCCAACAAGCAGTACCAGAATTTGCTCGGAGCATTTTACGAAGGAATGTTTCGACAAGAAAGATACAAGGACATTTCTGCGTGTTGGTAGCATTCCTACCTTGTTTCGGGAATACCGAACAACATGCGCGTATTGTAATGCCATCCAAGATGATGATAAGAATGTTTCATTTCGAAAGTATGGTCTATTTAAATTGATTTATACGTCAAGTGCAAACTTATCTTTTTATGTTACAAAATAAGTGTCTTGCAATTATTGTAATGTATATTGTANCCACTGATCTCTATATAACACTGGATAGCGCATAGGCTCGCTCGGTTGACCCCTTTTGAGTAGGTGTCTGCCATGTTGCTTGTAGTCAGTTTTCAAATCCAATATGGCGATTCCGGTGATGGACTCTGAATGACATGTGTGACCTGTGATTTATTCTGGCTCTATAATTTCGATCGGATAGTGCTTTGTTAATATTTCGAGCATAAATTATTTACTATTAGAGATACAATGGTGCTAATATGTAAATATTGCGGTAAGAAAGGCGGAATAGAAGGCAGAACTCTGCATAAGTAAGTAATACCAGTGAGCTTATGTACAAGTTTCCTTGTTTAAAAGAAAAGAAACGAACTGAGTAAAACATATTTTCAGACATTTGTATAGGAGCGTTACTACACATATTAATTAATTTGTCGTATTCTAGATTTCCTTTGAAAGATGCAGAGCTTCTGTCTGGCTGCAAAAAATGAATGTAGGAACTTCTTTTGTTCCCACAAGCAGTACTAGACTTTGCTCGGAGCATTTTACAAAAGTATGTTTCGAAAAGAAAGACACAAGGACATTTCTGCGTGTTAGTAGTATTCCTACCTTGTTTGTGGAATACCGAACAACATGTGCATATTGTAATGCCATCCAAGATGATGATAAGAATGTTTCATTTCGAACGTATGGTCTATTTAAATTGATTTATACGTCAAGTGCAAACTTATCTTTTTATAGTACAAAATAAGTGTCTTGCAATTATTGTAATGTATATTGTAATTGTCTTACTTAATTTTAGGTTTCCATTAAACAATCCCGAGCTTGTTGAAAAGTGGATAAGTGTTTTGAAATTGGGAAATTATATTCCGCACAGCAGAAGCATAATTTGCACGAAACATTTTTCGAAAGATTGTTTCTACACTGCACGTACGGGGTATCTACGATTAAAAGAAAATGCAGTACCGTCCATATTGGAAACAACCGAGGGTATGATAGTGATATTCCTACTGAAAGAATTATAATAAATAAAAGTGTACTTTCTATTTACATGTGTGGATCAAATTTTTATTTTATACAGATACGCAGGCACATAATTCAGAGGACCAGGCTGCTACTGCAGAAGAAAGTACGGCGAATTGTACAAGCATGCTGTCAGAAATCGACATAGAAATGTACAACGACGAAAATTGTATAAGTGATAATTCGATAACAGAAATTGGTAATGCAATTTCCATGTCTCCTGTATTTGACAGAACTGAGACTACGACGATAAGATATTCTTATTGCTAAAAGTAGTTTCATATTTTTATTCGTATATGTTAATTAAATTTTTATTCTTACACAGTTATGCAGGAACATGATTCAGAGGAACGTCCTTCAACTTCTTTAAGCCAGTGCAATGTAACGCCGAGAAGTTTAAAGCGGAAAAGGAATTGTAAACATGACCATTCCTATGATTTATCCCCAAGTAGCATGAGGCGCAAGATCTCTCACCTAAGTGCTACAGTTAAAAGGCTACGAGCGGAATCTAAGGTGCACAATAGGCGTATTAAACGGTTAAAAAACAAGATCACTAGCCTGAACGATTTAGTAAGTGAACTGCGTAGAACTAAGGCAATACCAGAGGTTGGCCTTAGAGTTTAGACGCTATTTCTCAGTGTGATGTTTTGCAATTATTCCAAGGATTTTTGAAAAACAAAAAAAAATGGTGTTCAGCAACAGCAGTTTAAAAGAAATAGAGGATTTAAAAGTAATCGTACAAATTCTGGATTGGGAATTAGTAGAGATAGATACCCAGCAGCTATTCGGTCTTTTGCTATTACACTACACATTTATTCCCCAAAAACTTATATGTTTGTTAGACAACAATTTTGCCAAGCTTTGCCAAGTCCAAGCACTTTACGCTCCTGACATTCAAATATCAACGGCCAGGTTTTACATGTGAAAGCTTCAATATTTTGAAGCTAAAAGTAGAACAGACCAAAAAACATGATAAAAGTAGTCTGATGATAGATGAAATGTACATCAAAAAAGGTCTGCAAAATATTCCTGGTGGAGCAATCAAAGACTACGTGGACATTGATTGCCGGTAAAACACTCTGATTGCATAAAAATAATATAAGCATTGTAAATATTGCATATTACTGACA